TATAAACTTCACATATTAACATATAATGTACAAATATGACTTAAATATAATAAAAAACATGACATGCAAAATTATTATATTTAAGTATATAAATATATACATATTTCAAAAAGTGACTAAATAGGAATAAAACTAAAATTAAACATACCAATTAAAAGTAAACGAAGGCTAAAATTAAATGAACACAAAATAAAGAAACTAAATTAAAAAAAAGAAAACATTCGAATTAATGACTAAAATATAAAGAAAATAAACCACAGACTCTTTTCATAAACATTGTCATTCCCAAGTACTGTAAACATAATATGAACAAAATATTACATAAGACCAAATTGAAATTTTCCAAAATTACACATCCAATGTCAAATTATCATGAAAATAGCCAAAACGTGATACAGGACCAAAAGGAAACACACTGAAAATTTCAAGGCGAAATCATAAACAAATGAAGTTCAATTAGGGACCAAATCAGAACAGGTTGAAACTACAATGGCCTACACACAATTACCCCCACATCAAAACACATAATACCCTCCTGGACGTCAACACGACGCCGTTTTGGACCTAAACGCGATGACACCGTTTTGGCGTGTGGTTATATGGCATATTAGGGTAAACTTGAAACCCTAATTCATTTCTAATCTCCCCCCCCCAAAGGCTTCAGCCATTTTCTCCCATCCTCTCTTTCTCTCGCTTTTCATTCTTCTTCTCTAATGGCCGACAGAGAAACTCAGAACAACCAAAGTCGGCCACCGCCGATCGGTGGCTGTTATGCCTCCGACTACCTCCCAAACCAACGACAAAAGAAGCCCCTAACCTAAAACCCAACACCTACGTTCTATGACCTTCCAAGCAAGACCCCGACCGAAGCCAAGCGGCCACCGCTGCCCTCTATCGCCCGAGTTTCCCCCTAACGACGAAAAGAACTTCCACAACGAAGAAGAAAATGTAAATTTTTATATGCTTTCTTATTCCTATGGACAAGGTTTCAATTCTAAAAAACTTCTAAATAACTTACATGGATTCTATTTACCTCTCTGACTACGCCGTGGTGGTTACCGACAACGAAGGACTCGAATCAACAAGGTAAACGCTTCACTCTCTTCTATTCTCTAAACTTTGCTTTGGTTCGAAAGACATTGATTTCTTTGGGTTCACTCTCTGGAATTTTCTGTTGCTTGTTAACAGATTGCTTTTGCTTTCTTTGAATGATGAGAAGATCTTTTTGTATTAATTTCCCGAAATGGGTAGAATTACAATGCTTTTCCTCCCTTTTGTTTCCCAAGGAAGCCCCCTATTACAAACTCTAAAAATCCCCCCACCCTTTGAATCCTTTTCCGTTCGTGAACCCAGAGCCTTCTTACGCCCATTCCTCTCGAAAATTCCTTTCGTTCCTGCCTCCCATGTGTTAATGAAATCTCTCTACTCACATTCTCGATGCCCCTTACCCTTGTTTTCTCCTCCGTCCCCCTTCGAATGTAATGGTTACCCCTCTTTCTCTCTGTTGAATACGCTCTCCCTTGAATTATGTGTATCCCTGCTAATGGAGTAATGGGCGTTGCAGGGTATGGGCATGAGCTGTTGGTGGTGTTTGCTCGGGGTGCCGAGCCTTGTCTGTCGCGCTTCACGTGGGTGGATGGTAAGCCCGAGTTGGAAATGGTGAAGGCACGGGCACGGGTTGGAAATGGTGAGCTCGTGGTGGTTTCTGCTGGGGGTTGTTGCTGGCCTCACGTGATGTTTCAACCGGGTCCCATTTTGGGTTTGATGAGTTTCAGGTTTGGGTCTGACATTGTAATTGGGTCCGATTTGGGCCTCATTTGTAATTTGGGTTTAGGTTTATAAGATGTACAAGGACTCTAAACATTTAATTTGGATTTGGGATTGAATTTGGGGCTTCAATTTATATCTTGAATTCCAAAACGAAGCAAATATGATCACAATCCAATTAAGCACCTAAAATTCTCAAATGCAAGCTTCCTCGCTTCATCATTTGAATTAATTCTTCATCGAGCACCTTCATATTAATTTGATCATCTTCAAATAGATTCAAATGGCCCGGACAAAATTAGGGTATTACAAAGTACATTCTGAATGATTCAGAGTAATTATCAAACAGAATATCACATTCAAAGTTAATTCATACAGAAATTATAAATTATTTAATATTTAAATCATTATACACTTAATTATTGTGAAGTAAACAAATAGGTTATCAATAATTCATTGTAGTTGTGTTACATATCTAAACGAATCATGAGCAGCAACAACAACAACATATACTCGGTGTTCTATGCTGACTCATTCAGGCCGGCAGCATCGACGGCACCGACATCCTCCCCACGATAACGCCGTTCTCCGAGCTCATCTATGCTCCGATACTGCCCTCTGTATCTCTCTCTATTTCTCTCACTCAAACTTTTCATCTTTCTCCATTTCTTTTTCTTTTTATTCATTAATTCACGGCAGATGACCCTTTGGGTGACCCCAAAATCATTACCGCACCATCTTCGTCGGTCGCCTATCTCACTCGACCACAGAGCACACTCTCCAGAAGGTTCTAAAACCAAAACACCCCGCTCTTTTTTCTTTTCTTTGGTTTTGCGATTCTGCTCATAAACTTTTCATTTTTTTTGGTTTCCTGTGATTTCAATTCTGTATTTGTTTGGGTGTTTTCTTTTTTCAGGCTATCAGCAAATATGGTCGAGTCAAAAACTTGCGCTTAGTTCGCCACATCGGTAGCAGTTTTTAGGGTTTTAATTTTATATTCATTTAGTTCTGAAACATTACTAGTTTTTGCATATTAGATAATCTTTTCATTATTATTCTAGCTTAGGAGGATGCATTGTGCAGTGACCGGCGCATCACGGGGTTATGCTTTTGTTGAATTCGAATCCGAGAGAGAGATGCGTCGTGCATATCTGGTACTCAACATTGATTCATTTTCTCTTTTGTTTTATTAGTTTTATTCTAGTCAGGGATTACATCTTTAATGTCCATTTTTGTAAAATTAAAATGGGTGAACAAGTATGGTGATTACTCCGTTTGCAGGACGCTCACCATTCAATTATTGAGGATGCTGAAATTATTGTTGATTATAACAGGCAACAGTTGATGCCTGGGTGGATTCCTAGAAGATTAGGTCAGTAGTGATTTTCTCTTCTTTTCCCATTTCTTCTAGCCATGGAATGTTGTCAATATTGACAGATTTCCAAATTTCTAACAGGAGGGGGGTCTTGGTGGTAGAAAAGAATCGGAACAACTTCGTTTTGGAGGACGAGAAAGACCATTTAGAGCTCCCTTGTAGGCACCGTCTTTCCCATCATTTTTATGCATATTTTGATCCATTAAGTTATCAGATACTCTTTGCACTATATGATTCTGATGTACATTCGACCCCGAATTTTCCATCTTTTTTATGCAACTTTTGGTTCATTAAGGTGCAAATCTAATTGTCCTATATTCATAAAAGATTTTAGCTCTTGTGGCTAGATACAGGGAGCTGCAGCTTTCTGTTTGCTCATTCTCTATTTCCCCTTGGAAACCAGGCAACCAATTCCTTATGAAGATTTGAAAAAACTGGGCATTCCTCCTCCACCTGAAGGAAGATACATGTCTCGTTTCCAGGTGCAGCCCCTTTCACCTCACTATCTTACACTAATTCAAACCCTTGGCATGCATATAGATATTCTAAAGTGGGACAAAATAAGCTCCACAAATACATTGTTGCATAAGTCTCGCCGATATGCATTATTTTTCACTTGTACATTTTCTTTGCTTCCTGAATTTGTTAGAGTTGCTGGTGTATGTAAATTTTATTATATTTTCATTTTTATTCTTAAATTACAAATTTTCTAATCTTTTTTTCTTTTTTTTTGTTGGGGGTGGGGGGGAGTTGGTTTTGATTCTCCTCTGAACTGGTTTGCCCCTTTTTGGGTTTAGCCTAACCTAATAAGATGTCGTTATTATACCATCTTGTCCGAATGTGTTTCTAGGTCCCATCTCCCCCTCGAAAACCTAGGAGTTTAGTGGAGAAGGAAGAATACTCTCACAAGAGAAGCTCAACAGAGAGAGAAGATTTATCCCAAAGAAGTAGCTCGATGGAGAGGGATGAACACAGAAGGACTACAGGGGGAAAGCAATACTCCAGAAAAAGGAGTCGTCTGGAGGAAGAACGCCCCGAGGATAGGTTGGAGTATTCTCCAAACTCAACTCCTGTAGAGAGGGATCATAACTACAAGTGGAGTTCTTCGGACAGAGAGGAGCACTACTCTTCCAGGAGCACTGCAGAGAGGGGAGTAATCTCTCAGAAAAGGAGCTCTAGGGACAAGGAAGAACACTCTAGCAAACGCCATAGGCATCACAACCGGTCCAAGCATTAAGCAAGGCTGGTCCCCTTTGTAGATCAGCTGCTGGGCAAGTTGGTCCTGTAGACATGAGATAAGCCTTGCGTTTACTACCATGAAGTGCTGATTAGGATTTTTGTACTGTTTCCCAATCAATAGCTGAAGAAATATGGGAGTTTAGTGTGGCTACAGGGAAATTGTTTGTATCAAGTTAATTGCAGCAGCATTAGGTCACCACTCTCTTGGTTAAAACGAGCTGTAGTTGAATTACATTACATGGATGCCAGTTCCAGGGGAATTATATTTCATTTGAATTTGATGTATTTAGTTTCATTTTTAAATGAATGGATAAGATATTAATGTCGTATTGGTTGATGTATCGTCTTTGTTCCGATATTGACACACATTGCACTAGTGAGCTTTGATGTATCGTTTTGGATATGAGAAAATCGACCGGTATAGTGGCAAAAACCATGGCTACAAACTTTGCCATGCATGACTAGAGTCATAATTGGTTTTTTTTAAACCTAATTTTGTTTTAAAAAAATGATTATGACAGATAGCATTCGCAATCCGTATTTACTCATCCACCCCAACCACCAAATAGAGAAAAAAGGCTTAAAACTTGAAAACAGAGGAACGAAAGAAATGCACACATTTTGGAAGCTGACTTTTAGATTGATTAACATAGGGCAGCGATTAGGAGTGTCCTACTCATGTTTAAACTATTTGAATTGGTTAAAAGATATACAAGCCTTGTTTTAGTCTTACATACAACTTGCAAAAGGTTTTTAATAAGTCTTTCCAAGGAACCACAGAAGTATACTACAAAGGCTGTAACTATCTGGATGAATCTAAAGTTAAGTTAATAAGGCTTTGAGGCACCACTTCCGGCATACATATGAAGCTGACTGAGAAGGCATGCATGCAACATTGGTCATTGGCTGAAGTACATTGGTTGTTACTATCATTTACAAGTAGCAGCTCAGCTACTTCACGGATGCCTACGATTCTCGTGTCACTGATATCAATGTCGAAAATTGCACTTTAACTTGGACTGTATTACCGGGCATCAACTTACGATACCTGAACCGAGGGATAACAAGATCACAAGATCGACCATAAACACAATTAAACATAGAACATGAGTTATGTCTAGTTTGCTTCTCATATTAAGATCACTGGTTGAAATCAAGTTCCCACAAAACGATCCTCTCAACTCCAAAGTTTACAATAAAGATCACCAGAAACATTGATATGAATCGAGATAACTAGTGACATAAAGGAAAAGAGTACTGCTACATCTTGACATATTAAAAACCGAGCAGCAGCTACGATGGGTTCCAAAACATCAAATATGAGTAAGAGTCGGCCAGTCTCACCTTTGATTTCTTTAGCATTGGTGACATGTGCAGCAGTTAAGAAAGGTTCAGCTAGGACATTCTTCCTTGATAGTAGCTTTACTAGTGATTCCCCTCGAGGCAGCTCTTCTTTTGGCTTGTATTTGATGTACATATTCTGCCACTATGACATGAAACATAGGAGCAAGCTTACTCGAAGAGGAAACATTAAGGTTTGCCTTCTTCAATGCCCTGTTAACATTTTTCCGAGTCTTTTGGAAGTGGACCGTACACAGAGAAGGAATGGCTGATCTGAGTATTGGCTTCCCACATGTTATGGGTCCGGCATGAGCACTATACAAACAAATTCAGGCCAATAATAAATAAAAAATCATTCTTCAGCATCCTTATTCCTACCCTATTCATTATCAATTTCAAGAAGAAGAAAGAAATCTTAACTTTTTATGAAACTAAACTATCCATAATCCCTCAAACTCCAAAACCTAAGGCAATTGTGTTTTAAGTGCATTTGGACACTCTCCCTCCGGGTAGGGATGGACCAAGGGGTGGTAGCCCCTAAAAATTTCAATTTTTCATATAATTTATATATTGTCTTTATATTCTCTATTTGACAATTTGTTTTTACCTATGGAATTTTATAAGTTCACCCTCTAAAGTTCGTCTCCCTAGTATAAAATCATGCCGTCCTCTGCAACAAAACATCAACTTCCTTCCTTGGTTATAGCAATCAAATGCCCTTTCTCATTCTAATTCACATACATAGATACATATACACACATACATACCCATTAAATTGAGATTAAAGAAAAACACAAAAAAGTCGTACCTTTTGATGACATATGTTCTTTTGGGATAATAATAGTCCTAAAGGAGGAGAAGCCTCCATTTCAGTTCTGGATGGATGCACCCTTCTCTGCCTTTGGACAAATATCATTAGGTATTCAAGGGGTTCGAAGAAGGATTTCGCTTTTCGTCAAATTCTGTCATTGGTCACTGTATTAGGTGTAAATTATAAATTATATTTTATATTTTTAATTATAAAATTTTAGTGAATCAAACTTTACGAAGACAAAATGACGAAGGCAATAATTTACAAAAATATGTATAATATAGGTTGATGTTTTGTTGAGTTTCCTAACTATTAAAATTACAAAATGGTTTCTTGATTATAGTGTATTGTTTTGTTGAGTCCTCTAACTATTAAAAGTTACAAAATGGTCCCCCAACTATCATATATTTCAAACTCGTCATTTTCTGTTAAAAAATTGTCGGCAGTCTGAGTTGGACATTAACATGCTGACTGTGATATGATAAAATATAATCCAAAACCTCAAACAACTATCATATCTCAGCCAATGAGTTAATGTCCAACTCAGATTGTCGTCAATTTTTAATAGAAAATGATGAATTTGGAACATATGAATAGTCGGAGACCATTTTGTAACTTTTAATAGTCGAAGACTCAACAAAGTAATGCCCCCATATTCGAAGATCATTTTGTAACTTTTAATAGTCGATAGACTCAACAAAGTAATGCCCTATAGTCGGGGGACCATTTGTGTACTTTACCCTAAAAAAATTCAACTTAATTAAACAATTTTTTACAAGATATATATTTAACCTAATATTTCTAGGGTGTCAAATGGAATTAAAATATATTATGGTTAATTAAGAAGATAATTATTTCGCACATCGCTACAAGCAGCTTGAAGGTTGAATAAAACCAGAAGCAGTTCCATCAGCATTACTACATGATGCTTCAGCCGGTTTGTTCCTGTAAATGAGCTTCACGTCCTCCAGCTTTATATCAGTGCAAGGAATGCTTGGGCTACAATCAAAATTCGCTGCTACTTCCGTCGCCGATATTCCGTGGATGTCCCGGTATGTAAAATCTCTGATTTTAATTATTCTTCCTGTATCGATTCTGTAGCGAATCATTTAGTTAATTATTCTTCCTAGTCAGCATAGACCAAACACGATGATTAATTCGATTGATTAACGAAACGCATGTACCAGACCGGGGCAATTGTTTTTGTCAGGGCAGTAGTGTTGATCGATGATGATGGGATTTTCGACGTCCGTCATGGTTGCGTGCTGAAAAAGTATGTTCCTGGCGAAACCGGAGCTAGGTCTCCCCCATGACTTTATTCACCCCGTTTCGAGTACCGGCAAATGTAATGGTTTTAACTGTCACGTTCTGAACACCGGGTTCTTCGGCTTCCTTCCCAAGACTCCCTATGCTGCTCCAATGTCCAACCATGTTAATTCAGAATTTATATATATATATATATATATATATAAGTGATGATCAATCGTTGATTACCTGATCCCATTGCCAGGTCCACATGCGACGCTCTCAATCAATAGATTGTTTGTGCCGGGGCCAACCGAGACACAATCATTGCCCGTTCCGGTTCTGGAGTTTAGAATGGTGACGCCGCTCGAGGCTTGCACGACACTGCCGTCGGTGTTCGGGCTGTTGCCGGTGGCAGACACTCGTACACCGCCCACTTTTACGTTGTTGCAACCATTGATGACAATGTGCTACAATTGGCTGTTTAGCGATGTTAATCCTCTTATTACAATGTTCTTTGAATTGCTGAATACTAAAGACTACAAAGCCAAAACAATGATTAACAAATTGTATTATATAACGTTGGTTAATCGCGAATATAAATAAACCATATGCAAAACTCACCGTGGCTCCGCTGGGACAGCCTTTGCCTGATCTCTTGCATGCCCACAAGCCAGTGCCTTGACCATCAAGTATCCCGCCATAAACCGAAACGCCATTTACATGCTTGAAGAGATGCCAGTTTCCAGTATTTCCGAGAACATTATAATCCGACGGAGCGACGAATGTGCGGTCTATACGTAATACAATAGCATTATTCTTGCACTGTCCACGGAAAACGACATTGCGCAGCGAAAACCTCCCCGGCGGGACGTAAATGGTCGCGGGTTTGATGGAGCCGCAGGCCAAAGTCCATGCAGCAACCATGGCTTTGGTTGAGTCCAAATTGCCCGGTTTGGCTCCATAGCTAAGAACATTGTACGTACTGTAAGTCAATGGATCAGCTACCCCATATGAAGGGAAGACAAGGAGAACAAATGCAAAAAAAAGAACACAGCTGGTTGTATGTTCCATTTTTGAGGGATGACAAGACACAAGTGCCGAAATGGGTATTTATAATTTATAAATTAGGGTTTATGTCTAATTTGAAATGCATGCAGAGTGGCAACTTACCATTGATTGTTGGATAAGCAAACTTGGTGACGCCGCAATGTTTGATCTGTTTTTGCCGATTACTTGGGGTTTTGTCTTTGCATGTGGCCATGCATGCATGCATGCAGCCGCCATTAGCTTGATTAGTAGTATATTATACATGAATATATATTTTGATATGCATATCATGAGAACAATGCAAATCAATAACATATTTATGAAGTAAAAATCATAATTTTGTTGAAAAAGTTGGAAATTCTTTTAGGAAAAGAAAGGTGGTTATGTGCAAGTAATCTCTTGATCAACGCTTACACAATTAGTTAAATAGAACAAGAAATGAGTGATGCACCTGGTAAGTGGTAACAGTTCCAATATTACTCGAACTCAGGTATAAGTGTCGGATGTAATTATGTATCCGACACGAATATTGTCAAATTTTCAAAGTTTTTCATACGTATTGTAAACGATAATTGAAGAGACATGAGTAGAAAATAAGGAATATGAGATGGATGTTGCTTAAGATGGTAGATTTCCAATTTTCCAGGGTGGATTAGCTCTTAGTAGTTAAATATATGATATAAGATTCATTCAATATATATATAAATATATGTATGATATAAGAAAACAATAGTGTTTTCATACAGATATCGTGAGTAGGTAGCCAAAAGCATGTGGGAGTTTGCAATGGAGGCGTCACCATACGCATTTGGCTGGCACCCTCCTCGCCCAGCTACCGTATTCCATGTGAATAACAACAATGCCTTGTCTCTATCTCATAATTGAAAACTTTAAGCTCAACAAAATTCCCACAAATGAAGTAATAAAAAAAAAGAGAGATATGCACTCCCAATTATTGCAAGAAGACAGCAAGGTACCTGGTTTTAAGGATTCCATGTTTTTGTTTCTGGAACTGGAAGCATGTCATGTTCATGTTCATGTTCATGTTCAGTTTCAATGTTAAATTATACTCTTATATTGTAGCATGTCAAGATACCGGATCATATGGATGACCTGGAAACTGCGATGATTGAAGGAATTTATTCGGAGATCTCAATGGATGGAGGACTGGTATTTTCCGGAGACAATCTCCGGAGGTATAATAATAAGTTAAATTCTACTCTGATATTGTTTAGCAGATGAATCTTCCAATTATTTCTTCTGCTTGTGAATGAAAATAGATAAATAAATAAATTGGCCAGAAACATTACACTATGCTGCCGCCTTCAAGCAAGAATGGTTTTTTGTAGTAGTCTGTGAAATACATCAAAAGAATATGGATGGCATGGATTGCTAAAAAAACATAAAGAAGCCACAACAACTTTTAACAAATCAAAACCAATGGTCCCGACATCTCAAACTCCCATGCTCCTTTAGTATTTTACATCTTGAAGTTGTGAGTAAAATGGAATGGAATTTGTCAGGCTCCCCTCCAGTTGTTGCCTATATATGTTTCTACAGACACTCGCTTCTAGAAGCTTCAAAGGCTTTAATGTCAGTGCCTGGAATCGTCGTTCGACTCCAAGGTGCTGTTGTGCTTCCTAAGACTACCTCCTCCTTGGCTTCTCTTGTTCGTGTTTGATTTCGAGCCAATGCGGACCGTCTTTGCTGAGAAGCAGTGACGCACGCGGACCTGATGGCTTTTCGTTTCTGTTGAACAACTTCCGTATACGACCACTGTCAATACCACCTCCTTATCCCGAGTGTCTTCGCACCACCAGTTCTGCGGGATGCCATCGACGAGATCTTCGAGTGTATGGAATTCTTCGTGATGGACTGCAATCTCAGCAAACGAATCTGGTTTGACTATGCCAGAAGCTGGTGTAACCTATGTCAAAAACAACATCACACAGTTCACGAGTCTATATAACATAACAGAGTATACTCCACTTTCTTACAACTTGAAAATCTAGGCTTGGGATTAGTTGCATATACCTCGAGCCAGCGCGGGAAGCCGAAGGCGCCTCTTGGATGGTACTCGGCTACATCCTCCTCATCCTTCGCGGTGGACTGACCGTCACAAAGGATTCTATATATAGCTTTATCCTTGTCGCATTTGTTGGTGATTCGGAGGATCGATGTGTCTTGGTTTTGCAGGACGATGTTGTTGGTGCTAACAACTGTTTCCGGAACGAAACGCAATCCATCGAGTATAGCCTTAATTTTCCGATTCGACTGCATCACCTCCCCAAATGCATGTCTCCTTACTGATCTATCTACATGCGCAACTGTAATATGGAATTTGCACCTTACAGGTTTATGGTCGCTCTCGGTAACGTCCATGCAAGCCTCGTACCTGATCATTACACATTCATTGCAGTTGCACATCAGAAATAGGCATAAGCAGCAGCACAAAATAACACTTTGTGAACAAACTTACAATATAATGGAGGAAACTATAGGACACTCTAAACTGCACTCGCCTGCTGGACCGGCCCTGTTATCACGATATATCACTCGGTCACACCATGCAGGAATACGCTTCTTTTCTCCGGAATCATAACCTTGAAAGGTATAATAAAGTGATTAAATCATCTAAGACAAGCCAAGCAAAACAGGGAAATCAAGTTTTGTTGTTGTTGTACCTGCCAAGCCTGGACGGTGCCTTTCGAACTTGTAGGTCGGAGGGAATCGAATAATGGCCTCCCGCATTCCTTGGAAAACCTTACCGGCTTTCATCTCTACCCTGAGCTGATCCTT